AAAGATTGGTCACCTTACCTAAAAACTCGGGCTGAAATTCCCAATTGACAATGTATGACAAAATCGGCGCACCCAACGATATATCCGTCCAATTTGGCTCTGCTCCAGAATTACTGAAATCAGGTCGCACGTAGTGATGGTACTAGATAAAACATCGATAATAACGATAAAAGGACATTGTCAGAAACCGCCTAAAAACCGCCCAAAAACATTAACCCATCATAATTATTTTCTATTTTTTTTAATACATTAAGCACCCATTCATTCTAATGGACACTTAAGCATTGAAAAATTAAATAAATAAGTCTTTTAACGTTTATTCTATAATACTATTACAACTTCCGGACGTTTTGGTGCGTGGCATGGTCTAAAACCTATCAAGTTTCATAATTTTTGCCGATAAAATCTGTACGAGGCATTACCGTAATTTATTGCTGGGAGTCCATGTATAGTGATGTTCCTGCGGCCATCATAGACAATAAAATNCTCGCAACTCAGTTGTTCTACGGTAAAAAGTTGTGAGATCCATGTAATACCAAGTCCAGGCCAGGAAATCTTTAACGTTTTACATAAATATATTGACTTGGCCATCGCATGAAAACACGTGTAAATTAAATTATTTAGTGCGATGGCCAAGTCAATAATTTATGTAAAACGTTAAAGATTTCCTGGCCTGGACTTGGTATTACATGGATCTCACAACTTTTTACCGTAGAACAACTGAGTTGCGAGACTTGGTTTTTTTGACAAGTATTGTTTTTGATGGGATGAACTTGTCGAGACATTCAAATACATACCTGAAAGTCCCAAGCAGCAAATTCATTCAGAAACAAAACAATAAACCAAACTTCAATTTCGCCAGAAATTGGATCCCAATAATTGGTATACAAACATTTGGATGCAAAATTTCTGGCAGTCATAATGTTCCGATATTACGCCCTGGCGGTGGGCTAAGTGTCAATAAACTATTTTAATGTTCTAGATAAAGGTACCAACGTACTACAAGAAGGGTCAGAGAACCCGGATAATCTGTCACTTTTTAAAATGAATGCATTTGAAAGTCTATTATTTTATTTACTGTCACTCACCTTTGGAGACTTTTTCGTGGTCGTAGTCAGATCACAAAAAAATCTTTTCTTCATTATTTTAAATCATAGAGGTCATATTCTTAACCTTTAACCTTGTTTCCACTTCAGTTAACTTACTTCTCATCATTAGTAATTTAAATACTTTAACCTGTATTTAATAGCAAATGGTATTGTACCACTGAAGTAAATCAATCTTAGTTTTTTTATTGTTTTTATCATAGCATAGCAAACATTGTTGAAATTGATATTTGTGCAGTGATTAGTCTAAATACTGAAATTCATGCAATCTAAACTTCAGTAAGTATAGATTGAGGCTTTAAATAGCTATAATTCAATCGGGACACTTGAAACTTGACCTTCACTGGTTGGGTTTTTATTGGCGATCAAGCTGTAGATCCTGGTTACACAGGAGTTGCAGCGATGGGAACGAGAGGTGGGAATAGTCTCGTTGAATTCAATCNGTCCTTTATTCAAAGCCTAGTATTGTTCATTTGAACCACGCTTCTTGTAAGGATTTGGATGAATATCTACACCTTTATCTTGTATCTTATTAATTGCCTACAAACGATACATGTGTGGCGTACATCACTAGCTTCATGCAACTAAAACAATTAAATAAGGCGTATTTAAACTGAAGAATTAATTTTAAAAATTCTATTGATTGTAAGTACTAACGTTACAGCAATAGGTCGCTTATTATCTGACTTTTCAAGTGAAAAATCATAATATAAATTATGGTAGAAAATAATAGAACTGGTCATCTCTCCCGTACGGCCATATCTCTCGGTCTTACCCAACTTACTATAAAATCATGGTAAGTTTATCTTTGCGAAGTTGTAGGCTATAATATAACCTAGATCTGATCTTTGTATGATACTATGTCCTGTTTTCAAGGTAAATTTATTCATCGATAATGGATCTATCGATTCTCCATCATCTCTAGTCGCCCGTACACTTTGAAGCCGAAATAAACTAAAAGTTCATGGTGTGTTTACTAGTTAAATTGTACTATTCGTGATTGTTTACGAGGGGAATGTTGCACATTTGATTGTTTCAGGATAAACTGTGTTTACGGGGTGCTAATCGGTTTAGTAAATGGAATCGAATGTCTATATTACGTCTACTGGGTTTTATCGTAACGTGGATTGGTAGTAATTGCTTCACGTCTGTAGGTACTACATAAGGTATAGAAGGTACTAGGGATACTTTTAAAGATATTGAACCTTTGTTTTGATGCAGTTTATTTGGCTGTTATAGTACAATTTTTTAATGCGATGTGAAGTGAAACGATTGCGTTTATTTCGCTAAAGTTTAAACATTTTGAAGCGCCTCTTTAGTCTTTTGTATATTTAGGGATAGAGGGAAACCTTACAATAATTATACATTGATAAAAAAACCGCCACAAAATTATGTTCAAGTTGCAGTTCAAGCGTTTTTTTTTTAAATCACAGTAGTGTTACTGTGATTGCACGTCTGCGAGACGTGCAAAAATTACAGAATTCAATAAAATAAATGTCAAATAATTAAGAAATTGTCAGAAAGATGATACAAAAATTATAGTATCAATGTCTCTTAATAACTAGAATAACATTAATTGTCCAAATGTTTGTTCATGTTAGAGCGATCGCGAAGGACTAAACTTAAAACGCTCTTCCAAAAACAATATCAATTTGCTTAGTGACAGTCTCCATAACAATATGCAATGTGCTTAGGACAAACGTTGATACAACCTAATTACCTAATACGAGTACAGTAGAATCCCGATTATCCGGATCAATTAAAACCAGGGGTGTTCCGGATAATCGAAAATCCGGATAATAAAATCTTTTTTTTTTTTTTTTTTTATGCATAACAAGGCAGGTATTTGACCACAATCGCACCTGATGTTAAGTGGGATGCAGTCTAGGATGGTACATATCTGCCCTGTAAGTGCTTATTCACTCTCGCCTTGAAGAGGCCCGGATTATAGTTTTCGGGAAAGACAGCAGCAGGCAACGAATTCCAGTCCCTAGCTGTTCGCATTATAAAAGAGTCATCGAAACGCTTAGTGCGAGCTGGTGGAATGTCAACAATATAGGGATGGTACGCTAACCTGCGTCTGGTTCCCCGATGATGGAAGGGGGCTGGTGGAATTAATTCGTGTAATTCTTTCGCACATTCTCCGAAGTGTAGCCTGTAGAAAACCGATAGGGATGCTACCTTACGGCGATGGTCAAGTTCCTGGAGCGCCGCTTCAACAAGGGTAGGGCTGTCGATAAGTCTTCTGGCACGCCTTTCCACCGAATCCAAAGCAGCCAAATGTTTCTTGGCAGAGCCGTCCCAGAGGTGGCAGCAGTATTCCATGCAAGGTCGGATCTGTGCTTTATAAAGCTGCAGCCTTTGCTTCTTGGAGAAGTACTGCCTTGCCCTCGAGAGGATACCAAGTTTTTTGGCAGCAGTTTTCGCTATGGATTCGATGTACTCGCCAAAGTTCAGCTTGCTGGACATTTCAATGCCCAAGAGTTGCAGTCGCTCGGTGATTTTGACAGGCACACCTCGGAATGTTGGAGCCATAAGAAATGGACTTCGTTTTGCGGAGAACAGACACGCCTGTGTTTTTGACGCGTTAAATTGGACCAGGTTGGCATCGCCCCAATCAGAGACATCCTGAAGGGCCAAATTTAAGCGTTCAATTAAGGACTCACGACAAGACTCGACCTCACGCCTGTTGGCTTTTGCGTTGGATATATAATTGGCTGTCACTGTCGTGTCATCTGCGTACCCAAAGGTGCCGGGTTTGAGCAGATCGTTGATATGCAGTAGAAAAAGAGTTGCAGACAGCACCGAACCCTGAGGGACGCCAGCGTCAATAGGTTGTTGACTAGAAGTGTAGCCCTCAAGGACTACTCTTATTGATCGTCCCTCAAGAAAATCGGAGATCCATTTGCACAAGCCAACAGGGATTCCAAAAGATGGAAGCTTGTTTAATAGGCTGCCGTGCCAGACTCTGTCAAACGCCTTTGATACGTCCAGTGAAACGGCAAGGGCTTCACCATGTTTCTCAATGGCCTCGCTCCATAAGTGTGTGGCATACACGAGAAGATCACCTGTAGAACGACTATACCGAAACCCATACTGACGGTCGCTGAGTAGGTCATTTTCTTCAAGGTATGACAGGATTCGGCCATTGAGGACACGTTCCGTTATCTTGCAGAGTATAGACGTAACAGAGATGGGTCTGTAATTAGTTGGGTCAGCACGACTTCCCTTTTTAGGTACGGGCTGTACGTTTGCAAGCTTTCATGATTTAGGGACTAGTCCAGTCTCAAGTGAGAGTCGATACAGGCGTGTCAGAATAGGAGACAACTCCGGCGCACAGTTACGCAGGACAATTGCCGGAATTCCGTCGGGTCCACTGGCTTTATTTACGTCAAGAGAACGCAAGACATTTAAAACCTCTCTCTGCCGTATGCGGACCTCACGCATGGTGGAGGAGGCAGGGGATAATGAGGGTGGCGTTTTGCCTGCGACGTCAAGACGTGAGTTATCAGCGAACAGGGTGGCAAAAAGGTTCGCCTTTTCTTCAGCAGAGTGAGCCAGTGAGCCATCGGGTTTCAGCAGTGGTGGCAGGCTGGGGCGACAGAAGTTTGATCAAACAATAATTAACTTTTTACAATAGAAAGGGTTTTCAATACATCATTTAGAGTCTAAAAATCAAAATAATAGACCATTGGATGAATACATTTCTTTTAACAATGAACTAAGACAAAGTCCAATCCGTGTTACGGTGGCCGCGGCCTCCGTTTTTATCGGTCCAGACCCTAAATCGGTAATTAGAAACTGAAGAATGAGTCCGGATAATCGGATATCCGGATAATCGAGATTCTACTGTATAAGATTTAACCTTAAAATAATATGTCAAAAAAAACTTACGAGAGTCGATGATCTCCAAACTCCCCCCGATCAAAGTCTGTATCACTAGCACAAACGCCCACACACTGGTATCCCTCGCCATCATCATCATCACCTATCACCAGAAAACTGATCACCGATTCATCACATAAGCACACAGAACACATTTGCGTTGTTTAATTTTCCCAATTCTTTTCTCTATCACCAGTAATCTTTGGAAACACTCCAAATAACTATTTTGATATCGCAGATCTTCTTAGAGCACCGGAACTGGGTATCTGAAAAGAAAATATTATTTTAGTTATTACACTCGGTGAGTTTATTATAAATAATGCTAGCCTGGATATTAAGGACGGATTCTCTTTGAGTCTAGAAGCATTAAAGATTTTTGTTTAAAACAACCCAAGGCTGCATCAAATACTTAGTTCTAGTTCCGTTTGCATTTTAAGAAGTTGATTGATTATAAAAATGCTTTTGGAAAGCCTTTTTGCCGAAAATTAAATTATTTTATTGACTCTTTGACGCTCAAACAAAGTTTGATAACCACTTGAAAATATATTATGTCCCTAATTAACGACAAGCTTGATTATTTTGAACCATGTCATTTGTTTGGAAGGCTCAATGTTTGCATTATTTATCCCATAGTCTCTTGCAACATTCAGGAGAAGTGCTCACACTTCTTGGTGTGGAGTGGTCTTATTTTACACTGTCGAAACCGCTAGGCAAACTTCTCTATTTCCCTCCTATAAAATGAGATTGGATTTTACTTCTGCACTACAGACTAACACCCGTGTTCACAAACATTACTATGAAGTCTCTCAGTGCGCGTGGACGCATAGGGTGACACACGAACCAATCACAGAGCTCTATTCAACGCTGTGCGTTCGATTTGCTGCTTCACTTAAGCAGGCATCGTTTGTGAATACGGGCGTTAATGATCTGAGATTTTAATGAAATGGCGACTCTCCAAAATATGAACAACTATTGAAAATATTACCAATGTGAGAAACAGAACAGTTAAATCCAAAAAGTGCGGAACTCCTCATTAATTGCAACGCCAGAAAATTTAAACTAATGAGTGGTCTGCCTAAATTCAAATAGTAAACAATTTTTTTGAGTAAGTAACTGACGAAATGTAAACACCCGACGGAAATATAAGAAGTCAGAAATAAACGTAGTTTCATCATTTCATGAAGTTCTGATCCAAAAATACACTCGGCGCTATTCCTGAAAAATGATGAAGGAACTTGTACTATTTTTGTGCATCTTTCGTAATCTTTCTTGATGTTTGTTTAATTTGTTAATTTTCGTAGCTTAAATTATTAAATAAGCTTAGGTTCACCTGGAAATTAGGTCGGAAGTAGGTATTCTCTATTAGTAGAACTCAAATAAATATCTTGACTACCGCAAAAACTATCGAAAAATACAATTACAGACCTAAAAGTAGACCAAGAATGACGATGCTGGCAAAGGTGACTGATATTCTTCCGTCCTTTTTCAGCACCATCGGATAAGTTGTCCTGAAGTGGTGTTAGAGCAAAATAAATATTGGACATGTAAGTAGGTATACGTGCTCTAAAAAGTGCCTAATAAATAATGAATTTGAATTTGAATGATATCAAACCATGGTTATCAGTTAATTTTTATACAACTATCTGGCATGTGTTGCTTGAGCAGCTATTTTAACACCTTCGCTAATTCGGATAACGTTAACATGGTTCAATTTAGTGCCATTTCGGGGTAATAAATACCCGTGTATCGTGATGTAGTGGACACGCGCCGACAGTTATGTCCCAGGTGGAGTTATACCTCTACTAAGGTACACGTCATTGCTAGTATTAATAGGCTAATGATAGTGTTTGGACAATTTAATGCAAGATTACCTGCCTAAGATGTACTGGATGAATTTATGTAAGGTGAACATTCTCGTACTCGTACTTATAAGAGCTTTTTTTAGTCTTCTTTAGTCTAAATAAAAATGTTATTTTTGCATGTGTCTCTATGGCCTCCTAGTATAAATATCATGCCTTTCTATGGTTATTTTGATGGATAAATTAAAAATTAGGTACAAAGTATCAACATGTTAGTATAATATTCAATATGCAGAAAAATGTACCCGTACATCGTTAAAATAGTGGTCATTTCAAAGTACCTACTACAACTTTTTAATGGTTTCCAACAAAACACTGTCTCCAAGTGTGACATTATTATTATGCCCCATAAAAATGCAAGGAAAGTGAGATTCATACCTACGTTCTATCAAACAAAACGACTCTAACATGTACACACAGCTAAACAGTTTGAGCATACTATTAAAAATTCTCTTTCTCTCCCATATCCCCGTTCACTGTTAATATTAGGTACAATATTATACCAAATTAAATCCACATTGTCTGCATTCCGATCCTGTAACCCACCGCACCGGCAGTACTAAGTTGACACCTTGCTCGATGCGTCACTTCCCCCGAGCAATAATATCCTTGGCGGAAGAACGGAGAAGGAATGGGAAGTAGGCTCACTTTGTTCAAGGTTAGAAAAACATTGTTTTTGAAGAACAAAGCAGCTGGAATTCGCTGCCTGCTGCTGTCTTTCCTAAAGACTATATTCTAAGAGAGTGAATAGGCACTTACAAGGCAGGTATGTACCATACTAGACTGCATTTCACTTTAAATCAGGCGATCGCAGACACATACCTGCCTTGTTCTGTATAAAAAAGGTATCTTCAATCACACCGTGTGTGTGATGTAGTCTAAGATGGTACATACCTGCCCTGTAGGAACCTGCTCGCCTTGAAGAGGCTCGAATCATAGTATTACATAGATTCAATTTCAGGAATTTATTAAAACTTGTGATTGGTTTAATTTCATTAATTTAGTGCGTGACACTTGAAATTTCTAAAACTTCGGAATATAGCAGCTGAAACCATGTTTTTTTTGTTATACCAAAACGCAATGGATCTAATTTTGGTACTCCGCCAATGTTAGAAAATGCGTAACGATTTAAAATTTAAATCTCATTACTAAAATCCATTTGCTCAGAATAACAACCAAGAGAATAATATTTTTGCTCCAACCAACGTAGTATTTTAATTTGATCTTTACTTACTATACATTTTTGAGTTTGTCTTTTACTTCTTCTCAGCACAGGCCCATTTACTGTCCCGAAGCAATGGTAGGTTAAAAGTAATACTGAGACAAGTAAAAGAGCTTTTTATGAGCCGAATTTGAGTGTTTTATTAGAGTTTATAGCTTGCTGAATTCAATTTTATTTCTATTATTTTCTTTTTCTGTTTATTCAATTTCTAAAAACGATACCTATGTAAGAACTATTTGTGAAACGTCTTTTGGCAAAACCATTGTGCAGTGGACCTGCTTATCGCCCGTCCATTGTACCGGAAGTCCCGCTTCCCCCGAACCGTTAATTACCTTATTTAATTAACTCAAAATGCGGGACATTTAATAGACACGCTTTTTATGAAGCGCACTTTACACTTTTATGGAACAGCCGGTAATTGCTTTTATGCGCCTGAAATTTTTGTGGAAAATTATACGTCGTTAAAACTGACCGTTAAATTATTTAGGGCTCACCTACTGTTCTAAGGAAATACGGAGTTGGAAGGTGTAAATAATATTAGTATTTAAACTCTAAAACAGAGTCTTAAGGTCATAACACACTTATCGACCCGGAAAGGGATCAACACCGTATCTTCTTTCGCCACGCTGTAAACCGCGAGGCGATGCGTTTACGTTACGGTTCGGATAAGTGGCGTTGCGTAAAGGTCAAAAGTCAAAGTCAAAGTCAAAATTTCTTTATTTGTTTGGACTAATAAATAGTTCTTACAAATCGTCATTTTGCTCTTAAGGAGCCTCTACATGTCTCATAATCTTTTTACCCTACCAGCGCTTCGAGACCAACATTTGGCAAGTGCTGAGAAGAAGCGCCGCAACAAACTCAGTCANTCGGCTACGAAAGCGTTCTTTCACCGATTTTTTGATGTCTTCTACCGATATACCTAACGATTCTGACATACCAAGATCTCAGTTTCGGAGAGAGATTTGAGTGTCATTGTCTCAGAAAGTTGTTTAATGTTTGTTCTATACACATAATAATAAGAAAATCATCTAAAACACCTGATCCACTGATTAACGGCCCGACCCAACTATTAGCCGACAAAAATTCAAAAGTCTGCGGCTAGACTTACGAGGCATTTAAGTAACAAGTCTTTCCCTTTGCCCCGTCTCCACTGCTCCACTTTTTGATACCCATTCATTTGACGTTGACCTCGTAGCTTCACTCCAAAACGTTATTTGCCCTTTCAAAGCAAAAGTGCACAGCCATTTTCTGGCAAGCGTGTTCTATTTGCTTTATCTTAATCTCTCATCGGGTAAATGCAGCAAACGCAAGTTTCGGCCACAAAAATACGATACATGTAGGTGTCATGTTAATTAATAAAATTTTAACGACATAAAATAACTGGGTCTTCAAATGACTCTACCTACATTTATTTCAGTTTAAACTCTTTAATGCATCAATAAAATTCGATTCAATTTTATTGCTCAGTCAAACAATTCTGTGATAGTAAAATTATAAGAACCGATGTCCAATGTGAACAAAAGTTTTTTAAGGCCTTTTATCGATTTTGCGCGATAAGTCCATACCTTTGTCGTCTGAAATCATCGATAAGATTTTATCACGGTGCGCATCCTAGCCCAGCTGTAGTGTAGTTTTAGACGGTCGTTGCCTGATAAGCCCCATCCTTTCATTGGGTAAAGAATGGGCGCCATGAAACACCGAAACTTACTGATATCATCAGCCTAAATTAAATTCAGGGTAACTAGCATTTAAATAGGATTTCAGTATATTAAATAAACATTCCCAAACAATTTATGGAGACATGGAGAGATACCGTTTTATTAAAAAGTATATCAGATGATGTTGTGTATCGTGCCTATTGATTAATTATTTATTGTTCCTTTTTGCTTTAATTGCTTACGCTAGCTAATAAGATTAATTGGGTAAATCTGAGCCTGGCACGTGAATATTGTCATTGTATGTGGAATCAATAAATTAAATCATATTACATAAATGTGCTTTATGTACTTTTTTAACGTATAAGTACCTTTTTTTTTATGTGACAGGAGGCAAACGAGCAGACGGATCACCTGATGGTAAGTGATTACCGTCGCCCATAGACACCCGCAGACCCAGGGGCGTTACA